ATCCTTGTTTCTTTTTCTACCCTCTTTAGTCTCGTGTCTTATTCCTCTTATTATTTAAAAAAAAAAAAAAGAAAGAACAGAAAAAGAGCCAGCAGCCACTTCATTCAACAACTGCAGAGCTGCAGAGCTGCACAGCTATTAAAAGGTTCTGAGGACAAGCTTCCAAGCCTAACTTTCCTGGTCCATTCTGTATTTCCAGTGATGAAGACTTTTCACTCCAAAAGGCAGTTCAAAGTAGCAAGTCGGGTCTTTTCTGCAGCCAAACAGCATTAAAGTATGGTTGCCTACAAATATTTCATTTTAGATAAACTGAGCTTACAAAATTAATGTTCAACTAACACTCATCAATTTAAAAAACGAAGTATTTCTAATAACTTTGATACGTTATTGAAACCACACTATTCCTTCCCCACTTTTGAACAAACGTTAAAAAAAACTTACTTAAAACTAATTTAAAAAAAGACAAACCCCAACAAACCAAAACAACCACAAACCCATAAAAAATTGCTTTTATTTCTACCCTAAATCCAGGCCACATTTCATAGCCTGATCCCAAGAACTGCTTGAATGCAGAAGCCACCAGACTCAAGCTTTGTTTCCACGGCAGAGCTAGATTTTCGGGGATGCAAGCGGGCAGGCACAGAGGTAATCCTCCAAAGCTGAACAGCTGAACGTCCCGCGGCAGCGATAGCATTCAACTGGGACCCACTCATCACACACTGGCTTCCAGCTCCTGCTGCTCCTGCGCGGCCGCGGTGGCACCCAAGAAGTTTTTAGCGCAGGAGTGAATGCTCTGGAGGAGGAAATGCTGCCTGCGGTCCCCATTGCCGCCCCGTCCAGCCAAGAAACACCCACAACCACCAGGCGAAGCCGGACACGACTTTTCTTGGGATTCCCTAAGAAAGTTCACGGACGCTGCTGACTAAGAGGGAAGCCGAGCGAGCGCCCCTCTCTGCTAACACTCGTCTGCGGAGCGTCATTCCTGCATTCCTTCACACAATGGTTCTGCGCATCTCCGCCGTGGACGCCTGCCCGGAGCAAAGCGAGCGGCTGTTCTCGAAGTTCTCCGCGCGAAACCGAGCGGCGCGTAAACTTTGTGACACCTCGCCAAGGGAGTCTGGGGTTCGGCGAGCGGGGCGAGGCGGCCACAAGAAGAAAAGGGGGGGAGGGTCTTGGAAATAAGTGCGGACGCTTTCGCAAGGGTCGGCATCCAGCGAACTTCTCGAGGCAGCTCGCTCGGTGGCCGCGAGCGGGCCAGGGCCGAGCGGCGGACGTGAGTCTCGGCCCGCCCCAGCGCGCGGGCACCGGCCGGGGTCCTACTCCGCGAGGGTGCTTCTCCCGGGAAGGCCCGTACGCGGCGAGGCCGGGGGCGATGGCCAGCTCCGGGCGCCCGGGTCTGACAGGGCGCGCCGAGTGACAGCGCTCCGCAAACTTGCGCCCCGGGCCGCGCGCCCCCGGCCGGCCGCCGCGCCCCAGGCCCCGGTGGGTGACAGGCTGCGGTCCCACTCACCTGTGCTGTCATTCGCCGAGAAGCCGGGCGAGCTGAGTTTGGCTCGTTTCGGGTTGGGCGGTCCGTCCAGCAAGTTCTCGGCCATTTTCGCCCGCTCCCGGGCCGGAGGGCGGCGGAGGCG